TGCGATCTGGACAAAGGCTTTGGTGGATGAAAAAACATTATCCAACTGCTAATAAATATGTAAAGATGTTAGAAATTGGAGCATTAAGACTAGGCGTATATGAGAGTGTACCTTCATTCTGGGCAAAAATTCAAAAATATGGCAATCAACTTGGTTATACTCCAGCATAGAAGAAAACCCATTTCTTATCTGGAGTTAGACCCGATATTAGAAATGAAATTTATAGAATCGGTCAAACAAAACCTATTAACAATATTATCGATAATTTGGCAAAACTTGAATTACGCCATGGAGTATTACAACAAGCACCATCACAATCTCGCTATGCACCTACTAATCCTGCTATTTCAGATGTTATATCACATCAACCAGTATTTCCTATATCTGATATGCAAAAAATAATTCAAGATGCATTTGCAAAATACCAAGCCGAGTCTGATGCTAAGTATGAAAAAATGAAGGCCGAGTTTGATGCCAAGTATGAAAAAATGAAGGCTGAACTTCAAGCACAACAACCACAAGTTGCAACAGTAGAATCATTTCAACCTCTATCCAAGATTTATCCTATAAAATCAGAAAAAGCTCAGCAAGCATTTTACATAGTAGATCAAGAAGGTAATTATATAGATCTACTTACCCAAAATCCAAATTATCATAAATACCTTGAGCAAGCAAAGGCATTGTTTAAAAAACCTCAGCAACAAAACCAATCTATGAGAATGGATAGATTAGAATCGAAAGTAGATGAAATCGGTCAAATGACATCTCAATTCAGGAGGATGATACTCGATAATCAATCCAAAAAATCTGTAGCTAAATCAAATTTTACACATTACTATCCCCAACTTCCATCTACACAGTCCCAATACACACCTCCAGCTTCGGATAATGAGGAAGATAATAATGGTGGTTATAATGAAGAAAATAATAGATGGACCGGGTATTATCCACCAGAAAAAAAAAACAGGTACTAACAGAATACAGCCAGCCTGAAATGTATGATGAGCTGTTGCCAAAACTTTCATCGGCAATGCATAAAATGTGTCAGTCTCATATAGTCTGGGAAAAAGAATCAAAATCAGATGAGTGGTTTTCATCATTACAATACTTGCATTATAATATAAATGATCTATTGATCACTAATTCTTTTTTAGATAGTACAAGTGAATTCAGGAGAGTGAATGATGCAACAATTAATGCCTTGGGGTGGAAAGCTGACAAGCCATCTGACTTTGCTATAAAGGGTAATTCCAAACATATAACCGAATCATTGGGATGGTATACAGATGTACCAATTAGTGTAAAGGACAAGGATGGAAAGATTGTTACAGCTACTGGAAATTTTGCTCGTATTAATAATGGGGAACCCAAACCAATGTTATGTTTAGGTATGACATGGATTCGAAAAGTTCAAGGTGTTTTTGATCTAAATAAAAATCAATTCCGAATGAAGTTATATGGGAAGACTTACATTATCCTAACTTTTAGCAAGACTCCAGAAATAAACGATCTGCCAAAAGAGGAGCGGGACCAAGTATCCACTGATTTCTTTAGCCAAATTAGTGAAGACTTAAAAAAAAGTGCGAAGATCTTGAAAAGCGCCTCTTGAAAACTGAAAAATGGCTTGACTTGGCATTAAATGCAAGTAAAATTTTAGTGGAAAGGTACCTTCTTGCGATTTCATCGCTTGAAGTTACGAATTAGATAAATATTTCATTTTTTGAATTGGTTTTTATCTACTAAAAATGAATATACTAAATATTCTCTTAATATATCTGGTTTTGAGCAAGAATTGCGAGAAGGCGGGCTTATAGAGAAAAGATCGGATGCGTAACAATGTTTCTAGTAATATTTAATAATTTATTAAGATCAGATTCCCGTCT